GATGTCATTGTACCGGCCGCTTTGAAAAAGTGATAAGAGGACTTTCGCAGGGTCAACCTCTGCCGGCTTTACAGCGATACAACCAGTGGTGGGTTCTTAGCAGTTCGGACAGGTTCAACCGAACCAATAGTAGCTTGGTGGCCTGGATTGCGGGAACCGGCAGCGACCCAGGCCTGCCACGCGCCCGAACCGGTTCTCCCGGCGGCACAGGTGCCACCATCTTCTTGCATGCACAGAGCAATTTTAGTTGTATTGCGCATGCACGCGTGGCGCAGCCCTTAGCAAACCAGCAGTAGTCTCTGTCAGAATCCACCTCTGGATACAACCCACAGGGCCCTTCCATGCTCCAAAACGTGAGAAAATGCCGGCGTGCCTAGGCGCCAGGCTAACGGTTATAAATCAGTGGTTACAGGATACATAGGAGAGAGAGCGATAAAGTATAAAAGTATACAAAGTATAATAAAGATGTATAATGAATTAGGATCCCCCTCTTCACGGATCTGGCATCATGTGACATGATAGTACTCTTTATTTATGTTATTTATTGATATCAAACTTCTTAACCGCCCATCTCCATCACAAAGGGCCTGTTTGCTGCACCAGTGGAGACCACACTTGGAAGGCAGGGTGTCCTCAACTTACGACCACAACTGAGCCCAAAATTTATGTTGTTAAATGGGACATTTGTTCAGTGAGCTTTGCCCCATTTTACAACTTTTCTTGCCGCGTTTGTTAAGTGAATCACAGAAGCGAATAACACGGTTGTTAAGTGAATCTGGCTTCCCCTTCGACTTTGCTTGTCGGAAAGTCGCAAAGGTGGATCAGGTGACCCCAGGACATTGCAACCGTCATAAATGGGAGTCAGTTGCTAAGCATTTGAATTTTGATCACATGACCATGGGAAGGCTGTAACGGTAATAAGTGTGAAAAATGATCATGCATCTTTTTACAGTACTGTTGTAACTTTGAATGGTCACTAAATGAACTGTTGTAAGTCGAGGGCTACCGGTCCTGTGTTCAATTCTGGTCATTATGATACACAAAAAAATGTTGAGACTCTAGAACCATGATGGCAAACCTATGGCACACAGAGCCATTTGTCAATGCACGCGAGGCCTTCCTTGGCTTAGGCCTTCTTTTGAGGCCATTTTTTACCTTCCGGAGGCTTCCCTGAAGCCTCTAAAGCACAAAAAAATGGCCCTATGGGCAAACCGGAAGTTCGGAAACATACTTCCGGTTTGCTCGTAGGGCCGTTTTTCACCTTCCGGAGCCTTCAGAGAAATCCCCTGAAGACTCCGAAGGTCAAAAATCGGCCCTACAGGGAACCTGGAAGTTTGGGAATGGTGACTTCTGGTTTGTCTGTAGGGCCGCTTTTCAACCTCCAGAGCCTTCAGGGACCTTCAGGAGGCTTCCCTGAAGGCTCCGGAGAGCAAAAAATGGCCCTAAGAGCAAATCGGAAGTCACCATTCCCAAACTTCCAGGTTCCTCATAGGTCCAATTTTGTCCCCTGGAGGCTTTAGGGAAGCTCCTGAGGCCTCTGGAGGGTGGCGCTGGGGGGAGGCTGTTTTCGCCCTCCCCAGGCTCCTAGAAAGCCTCTGGAGCCTGGGGAAGATGAAAAAACCACGGCAAAAGCTGGGGGGGGGGGGGTTTGCCGATTGTGCGCATGGTCCCTACCAACCCTATTATTCTATGTTCTGGATTGTTTCCACTCTGCTTTTCCACCAAGAGCCAAGCAGGGTGAAGGTGTTGGAATAGTGGCTAGAGAAATCCAGGTTCAGCTTTGCTGTCAACTACAAAAATTGGTTGGGTGGCTTGGGTCCAGATGCTGTTTCTCAGCCCAACCTACCTGACCAGGTGGTTGTGGTGATGGGGTGGAATGGGAGAAGCAGGAGATATGTGTGTGTAGCCTTGAGCTTCTGAAGAAAGGTAGGATATAAATCCAACGTCTTCTGACATTCCAGTTTTCACCTAGAATTGATGGATGTTTATGTTTTCATACCTAGATCCGTAAGCTAAAATACTTCCATTTATTTGCAATCTGTGATACATGCATGCATCAATCCATCCACAACATACTGTTAATAAAAATTTTAAAATGAAGATTTGCAGGCCCTTCCATATTTAATCTGCCTTGCAAATTAATAGACATGCTTAAAATCACATATTCTTTAGTTTGCAGATTTATTTCAGATTTACAGTGGCATTGGAAAAGCCAAGATATACAGAATCAAACTCTAAAAAGTATACTGGAGTCTCTTTTAAAAAACAAAATCGATTGCAAAGGTTAATAATCTGCCTTGGCGATTATATGAATACATCCGTGCTCTAAATACCCTTGAGACCTGAAAGGTTAATCAGGGATGTTTTTTTTTATAGCTGACATTAATTATAGCATCATTATCTATGAATATATTTCAGAGGTAATAGAGGATTTTAATCCAAAGTCATAATACAGCAAGTTAATAAAAATGTTTAAAATCTTTCTGCCGCTGGTATGTTTTTTGTTTTACTGGTGGACCCTCCATGAATTGTGAAAATGATTCCATGTTATGCCTGTAAAATACTTACTAATCTATTTCATTCCTGACACACCATATGCCATTTGCCTCCCTGTGCAACTTCCCCATAGTCTGACAGATGGGGTTAAATATTCCTCACTAAACTTGGAAGACATGGGCGGCATGTTTCAGTGGCTTAAATGAATTATTTTTGACTGACACCTTATTCACATAAATACTTATGCATAGTTTGAATTTTTAAGGTTTGGAATGCAATGCTGTTTTATTTAGATACTAGCCGATAATCCAGCATTTCCTGGGTATTTATTTATAGGGGGGAAACATAATTTATAATGTTGGATTCTCCCCCTTACCAGAGGGAGCCCCCTTGTGGAGTACTGTGAAGCCTTTACCATGGCAACTGCACTGTGCTGTACAGTAGAAGCCATTTTACGGCACAACAGGCTGCATCTTAAAAGAACAAATACCCGGAGGGGTGTTAGGAGTGTCTTACCCCCACAATATTTTTCTCCAGAGAGAAAAATAGAAAACAGTGAAGGTATCTTATCTTTATCTATCTTTGTCTCAGTCTTTATCTTATCCTATTATTCTATCATTGTTCTATAATTGAGAATTGTGAAGTTTCCAACTGGTACCCAACAGGTGAATATGTTCACGTAGGTTAGGGCAGCTCTCCAGACACCCTCCAAATACGCAGAGCAACCCCATGATTCTCAAAAGGACCCTCTGCCTGGGGGAAATTTTGCCATCCGCCTCTTGATGGGAAGCCCCAATAAAGGAAGGCTGGCCCAGAAACCTCTCTGGTGCTTTTGTTGGCAAGGAAATCTGGCTGTTCCTTCATTTACTGACGATATGGTTGGATTTAAATTGATTTCATTTCCTTTATACAACTGCCCATTTACAACTACAGGTAGTCTTCAACTTACCATATTTTTCGGATTATAAAACGCACCGGAGTATAAGATGCACCATGATTTTGAAGAGGTAAATTTTTCAAAAAGGTTTTTGCACTCTGCATGCCTCATTTTTTTGCAAAAAAAAGGGCATGCATAGCCTTTAGGAGGCTTGTAGAGTGCTCCTGGGGGCTGGGGGGGGGGACAAGCAAAAATGGCCCGTTTTTCACTCATTTTTGCCCTCCCCGGCCCCCAGGAGCACATTGCAGGGCTTCCAAACCCTCTGCACCTCCATTTTTGCAAAGGGCGCGGGGTTTCAGGAGGCCAAAAATGCTTTATTCAGTCTATAAGACACACCCAGACTTTCACCCTCTTTTTTGGGGGGAAAGGTGCATCTTATACTCCGAAAAATACAGTACAACCATCATTACGCCCCAAATTTCTGTTGCTAAGTGAGACATTTGTTAAGTGAGGTTTGGCCCATGTTACGACCTTCCTTGCCACATTTGTTAAGTGAATCCCTGCAGTTAAGTTAGTAACATGGTTGTTAAGTGAATCGGGCTTCCTCACTGACTTTCCTTGTCAGAAGGTGGCAAAAAGGGATCGCCTGACCCAGGGACAGTGTGACCATCATAGATATGTCTGGAGTTTGGCCATGGGGTTGCTGCAAGGGTCCTAAATGTGGAAAGCAGTCAATAAGTCAGTTAACAGTAACAGTAACAGAGTTGGAAAGGACCTTGGAGGTCATCTAGTCCAACCCTCTGAGCATGCAGGAGACCTATACTAGGGATTCAAACTGCCAACCTTTCTGATCGACAGATTCAGCCACTGAGCCAGTCACTTTTTTCAGTGAATTCGTAACTTCAAGCGGTCACTAAATGAACCGTCGTAAGTCGAGGACTACCTGTAAATGACTCTGAGTGGCTCATTGCATTAAGCAGACTTGATCAAACCCTTCTAAAATGTGCCCAGGTGCAGCCCCGGCTGGCAGGAACAGCCCTTCCATTGACCTGACAGACTGGCAGGCAGAACGAGGCGCTGGCATTCTTGTTGGCAGGCAGAGCAGGGCAGGGGAAGGGATGCCCAAGCAGGGACAGGTGGGGTGGCCGGTGAAAACGCCGTAGGACAACACCTGGCCAGCCACCTGCTCCTCACTGAAGTGGTTGATGCCCTCCGATAAATCACTGCCATCAGATGAAAGGCAAAAATGAAACAGAGCCCAGAAGGAAACCCATTCAGGGCCCTCTGTCATATTACACAATTCCTTTGATGTAGCTGTTCAATAATTTCAAAATGCTACGTTGCTTCTAAAATAAAAAACCCTCCGTGCCAGTGCGGTTCTTCACATAGTTTAACATAACATATTATCTGAAGCTCTGTATGTATATACTGTATATCCAGATTTCCTGGCAGCAGATGAAGTCTGCAAATGATTTGAGCAGGAAAGTCTAAATATGAGGAATGGCTCTTTCGTGTCTTAAATAATGAAGTTGTTCTCCCTCTCTCTCAAACAGCCTCTTGTCTTCTGCTTCTTTTACAGGCACTACAATAAACTGCGGAATTTAGTGAGGGATGCCCGTCGCGATTGCATTATATTTTTTAATGAATTCCAGCTGCTTTCTTATTTGCCACGAGAGCGGGGAGAATCGCTGGAGAAATGGCAGACCAGGTAGGTGCTCCACATAACGCAGCCCTGGTGCACCTTCGTGGTCATCAGACCAGGCGTGGCCTGGGGGATGATCATTGTCTCGGGAGCCCTTGACTTACGGCCAGGGGTGGGCTTCAAAAAGTTTAGCAAGGGTTCTCTGGTTGCTGGGTGGGCATGGCCATGGTGGGGGTGGCCTAGTTGGCCTCCTGGACCAAGGCAAAGTGGTGGTGGTGTTTTTGCCTTCCCCAGGCTCCGGAGGCTTTCCTTGAGCCCCTGGGAGGGAGAAAACTGCCTCCTCTGGACTCTGGAGGCTTTCTGGGAGGCCCGTTTTTCACCCTCCCCGAGCCTCCAAGCTTACCTCGCATCCAGAACAGTCCGCATGGAGACTCCTGGGAGGGTGGGGTGGGCAAGGCCAGCCACGGGTGGGATTTGGAGGTTCTCCAAACCAGCCATAACGTTAGCTATGGGTTCTCCTGAGTCCTGGGCATTTCGTAGCAGCCCATCCCTGCTTACGGCCCAGAGTTTATGTTGCTAGGTGAGACATTTGTTAAGTGAGTTTTGTCCCATATTTCCATTTTTCTTGCCATGTTTGCTAAGTGAGTCACTGCAGTTGTTAAATTAGTTAACCCGGTTGTTAAGTGAATCTGGCTTCCCCATTGAGTTTGCTCGTCAGAAGGTCGCAAAAGGGGATCACGTGATCCCTGGACATGGAAATGGTCATAAATGTGAGTCAGTGGTCAAGCATCCGAATGCAAATCACGTGACCGTGGGGATGCTGCAACGGTCATAAGTGTGAAAAACGGTCATCGTTCCCTTTTTTCAATGCCTTTGTAACTTTGAACGGTCACTAAATGAACTGTTGTAAGTCGAGGATTACCTGTATCGGGGCAAACGTATGCAAACAAAGCAGCACAATTGAGACTGCCTGGATCTGTTTGGGGTGATACTGAAATAAAATGTGCATCGTTTTGCATCCATGTGTTTTTGCTCTATTTTTCACCTATGGTCTTATTCCCTCTTTTATACTCTAATAAAATATATTCTGATAAGGCCTAATGAATCAAGTATTACTCTAAAGTCATGTGGAGGGAACTCTCTTTGGTGTTCAGCAGTGTTGATCAGGGAACCTTTGAAGGACTGTGTAGAACAAGGATGTCAAACTCAACTTCATTGAGGGGCGCATCAGGGCTGTGTTTGACCTCAGGGGGTGGGGAGGGCAGGCTGGACATGGCCAGCTCAACGTCACTCTTGTTGGCCCCTGTGGTGGCCCAAGCGCTCTGCCAGTGAAAACAGGCTCCCAAGGAGGAGACCGCTGCAGTCGAAAACGGAGTTCAGGCATGCGGCCCTCCCCAGCTCCATTTTCACTGGCCCAGGGTTGCAGGAGGCCGCAGCAGCCAAAAACAGAGCTCGGGAACCCGTTTTCACTGGTGGGCCAGTCCTTTTGTTGTTTCAAGGGTGGACTAGATCTAAGTACCCCGCGGGCTGGATCTGGTACCTGGGCCTTGAGTTTGACACCTCCGGCATAGACGTAGAGGGTTGTGGCATGTTTTCAAACGGCAGACATTAAGTGGTACAAACTGCGGGATCAGAGTGAAATGAGAAGATGAAACTTGACATCCAAAGATAAATGTGAATGCTGATTCTCCTAGGAGTATTTACAACGCCTCCGTGTGGTACTATAATCACTTCTCGGGCCAGATGCCCATCGTCATGGTAACAGAGGATGAAGAGGCTGTGCAACTGTTTGGCAGTGAAACGGAAGGCGTCTTTGTGATCTCATTCAAGGTAAGGCTTTTGTGCTGTTCTTTTGTGTACAGGTAGTCCTCGACTTACAACCGGTCGCTTAAACTACTTTGAGGCCACTTAGGACCTGGATTCTGATGGTTGCCCCTGCCAACAACTGATTGAACCTGGGGTGCAGACATATTTAAGACCATTTGAAGCATCCTTTGTTCACATGATCATGTTTTTATTCATTTACTAGCTGATAACCTGGCATTCTCTGGTTATTTATTTATAGGGGGGAAATGTCCATATCAAACGTAATTTCTAATGTTGGATTTTCCCCCTTACCAGAGGGAGCCCCTTTGTGGAGTACTGTTAAGCCATTACCATGGCAACTGCACTCGCTGTACAGTAGAAGCCATTTTAAGGCACAACAGGCTGTATTTTAACAGAACACCCCCCCAAGGGGCATTAGGGGTATCTTACCCCCACAATATTTTTTATCCAGAGAGAAAGTTGCACCAAGTTTAGTTGAAATTGCTCAAGGCATTCCAGAGTTATACTGGAACACACACACACACACACACACACACACACACACACACACACAGAGCCATTTATATATATATATATA